AAAGGTGCCACAGGACCCTCTGTTGCTTTTTACTTACAGAGCATGGCCTTGGCCTGAGATTGAGGAGGTTGAGGGTTTTGAAAAGTAGATTGATAAAATGAATGGAGACTAAGTTTTGGTGTCACATAGGAGGGTACAGAGGGAGATGATGTCTGGACCAGTAAAGATATGGTGAAACCTTTCTATAAATCAAGCCACAGCATCATAAAAAATTTAAAGTATCCAGCTTGTCTGCGGCATTAGGCAGATAAAGCTGATGATAACATCCCGTTGGCTGCTTTTGCAAAAGACAGACCAGAATTCTCCCTAAGGGGCAAACAAATAGTTCAAAAACATTGTCACAGGGCACTAAGGTTAAAGCAGGGCGAATGCTAGTCAACTTGTAATTGACACAGGAAATTTTTATTCAGTTGCGTGGCTTAGCTTGCTATGCTCTCCAATACAACATGTAGTCTAAGGAATGAGGATGGAATTCACTCATTTGCAGAGGGCCAGCATGGGACCTGTGTTCCACTTTATATGTATTCTGAGGGATAAATACCACTTCAGAGCTGCATAGGCCTTGTGCTGGCCCTGTGCACAGAGGGGAATTTCACTCTCAGTAAAATAAATGATGAGACCTTTGTGCAGCCTCCTTATAACACTTTGTGCAGCACTTGGAAGGATAAGCTAAGAACCCAAATCATTAACAGGATGTGAAGAGTTAAAATGGGAATGGGTGTGGGACTTTTGATTTTAACAGATTTTATATCTGCTTCTAAGATCTGCTTTTTCTTCCACTGACAATCCTTTCTTCTATAACTAACTAAATAGAGCCTGTTCATGGGTTTTAAATAGCAGTGAGGGTTGCAAAACATTACTCATTTTGATGGTGCAGTTTAATTAAATGACCTTTGCTCACCTCAGCACTAGACCACGCTGGATGCTGGTTTTCATCTTTTCGGTCAAATGCTCCACATTAGCCTAGAAACAGAGTCACACAAAGCAAATGTGATGATCATTGCCTCCTTCACCAAGAGACTTTCTATAAAGGATTCCAAGTTCACAGCAATACTTAAGAAATCCCTTCTGTAATGTGAAAATCCAACTGACCTGCAGCTTCCAGGACAAATTCTAATGGGTGGGTTAAAAGCTACTGGTCCTGGTTTAAAATTAACCTCTTTTCTTCACACCCACCAAAAACTTTTAGCTTCTTCATGTCTCTAGACAACAGTGTTATTTCAATAGGCTCTTTAGGTCACTTGCATGTCACTGATTGGACTTTATTTACACAGCACCTATTGGACTTTATTTACATAGCAACATAGGAATTGCCAGACTGGATCAGGCCCCCGATCCATCCCATCCAGTGTCCCACCTGTAACAAAGGCCAGCACCAGATGCATCAGAAGAATGTGTAAGAACTCAGCAACAGGCAGCTGTGGGATAATCTGCCCCTCCCATTAGGGCTCATCCTGGTCTCTGATAGTTAAGAGATTGGCCCTGGAGCATGAAGGCTTATATCCCTTCCAAAAATCTGTCATCATTAATACTAACAACGCTGGATATTCTTGATACCCAATTCTTTTTTTTTTAATCTTATTAAATTCTTGGAGTCAACAACTCCCTGTGGCAAGGAGTTCCACAGTTTTAAGTATGCATTGTGTGAAAAAGTATTTCCTTTTATCCTTTTTTTTGCCTTTTCATTTTGCTCCAGCTCCATCCAATTACTATGTACTAATAATCAGATTGTAAAAGAATAAATATGTAATTGTTCTACCTAATGGTGCTGTGGTGACTTGATGTTTCAATTTTTGGTCATCAGCAGTCAGTGCTTGATGTCATGAATGAGGAGTGTCTGGCTACAAGTTCTACTACAACAAAATATGTACACTGGCATAATATTCCAATTCTCTGGGGTGAAGGTGTCACGTATGCATTTAAAAGTAGCCACTTATTGCTTCAGGCTAAGATACCCTTTTGGAACAGCATCCAAACAACTACACCAACACAATGTACATATTAAATGCTATATACAGACAACACTTTGAAAGTCTATATAACAATGAGAGACGTTATTTCAGTAAGATTGAGCTGCATACCTGGAGTTCTCGAATATCAAACTTCTCTTCAAAGATATAAGCAGCATCCGCACCTGCAGCAAGGCCCCCCATATTGGCCAGGTAACCACAGTAGCCACCCATTGTCTCAATGATGAACACACGACGCTTGGTCCCACTGGCTGACTGTTTGATGCGATCACATGTCTAACCAAAGCACAGAACATTAGGGACTTACGCAAACATGAACAGGCTCTCAACTGTGATATTTACCATATATTATGTGATTCTTTATCACAATTATAAGATTACTGAACTATATTACTATATATATATATATGCACATACACACTCTCATGTCAATTGTTAATTCTGGAGGAAAATATTTCTTCCAGGTCACTTGGACACTATATTCAAAATCGGGTGTTTTGGTAATATCATGTTTGCTTGTGTTATCCTTCCATCTGGCTGCTTTCTGAAAATGTTAAAGGAGAAACTAATCTCGCGGCCCATTCTTATTCTTAAAACTTTGGAGTAGTTATATTGGAGTTTTATAGAGATATAAAAATGGAGTTTGCTTTCTGATCTGGGTGTATATCCACATTTAGCCAGTCTCTACTTTTATTGTGCACATGACTGAAGAAATCACCTTTGATACTGAGGAGTTTTAAGTACACTTCCTAAGAAGTTGTCTTTACAATTTGAATTTATGAGACTGAAGTCCTAGGTGTCTATTGATCCACAATTTGCTTACGCAGAGGGCTAGTCATGCAAATGTCCATGACTTGGCAGCAACAGAGCCAATTTCTCCTACTTCATATCCATAAACACATACTGATTATGGGAGACTGACCTCAAACGACATCTTACCCATTCATAGATAAGAAAAGTTGCTCACTATGAGGAAATCTGTTGGCTTACAAGAAGCATAGGGAATGATGATTTACAGCATCAGAGCTGCCTGTGAGTAGCTTAAACAAGCCTCCACAAAAATAAATTTCAAAAACTGACAGCTCTGATCAGAGGACTAAAGAGAAAACCCCAAAATAGCAGCAGATCAAGTCTAAGACTATTTGAAAAATAATTGCCCTAAACTCAAAAAACCTTTCCTTGAGGGCAAATAGAATTTTGCAAATGCGGTTTGTGGGCCCAGCTGAATTAAGAGGAAGCAGATGAGTGCAAGGATCTGGAAAATTCAAGATCATGAAGTTCTTGCCCTTTATTAACAACTTATTTAGAAGGAAACATAAAAACAGCCCTCAGACCTCTGGAGAGTTTTTGAATGAGTAACTATGGATGCAGTTCTACATTTGATGTTCTTCTATTCTGCTTGTGGATTAATTTTTCCAAATACAGCCTTAGCATCATTTATTTTTGATATATAAAGACAGGTTCTGAGCCTGATATTTGTATTAAATACCTACTTACCAGAGCACAAAACAAATAAAGTTTAAACTGGTAAATGGGAAAGCCTAAAAAATTAAAAAGTCATAAGCATTTAACATTATCATAAATTACAGCATTTAGAGCACAAATAACTATATTATATGTTTATGTATATTTACTTTAGTTCAACTACCAGAGCTATAACATATATATATCTACAAATGATCAAATAGATTGATCTATCCCATATTCTTTTAAAAAACAAGCAGCAACTCCAGAACAAAATACATCACATATTAGTTCAGATCATGCACTTCATCAGTTTGTTACAATGGCAACCCCTTTCTAGCTATCTTGGTTCCTATACTGTGCCCATACTGTGGTCTCCAGTCTTTTCCTCACTGAGTACAGTTCAGTGTAAGCTCTCAATGTACAATAAACAGCAGCATACTTGTAGCAACCCCTGCTGCTTTCACGAATGGCAGACTTATGATCACACCAGTTCTAACTCCCTGGAGACAATGCTTGGGATTTCATGGGGAGTAAGTGTATACATTATGACATCACTAAGGAAATTCTGGCTTTTAGGTGTTGGGGAAGTAAACATATAGGCCAGGCTGTCCAAAAATGACTTGGCTGCCAAACTTGAGATACTCAAAAGGGCCTGCAAATGTTTAGCATATCTGGCACCTTGCATATCTTGCAATGCCAGCTACAAGAATGCCATGAAAATGCCTGTTCTCACTTTCAGGTGACATTGTAAACAAGAAGCAGACAGCATTATCTCCTGCAAATGTAAACAAACTGGTTTGTCCGAGCGATTGGTTAAACAAGAAGTAGGACTGAGTGGACTTGTAGGCTCTGAAGTTTTACATTGTTTCGAGTGCAGTTATGTAATCAAAAACAATCTACACTTGTAAGTTGCACTTTTACGACAAAGAGATTGCACTACAGTACTTGTATGAGGTGAATTGAAAAATATTATTTCTTTTATCATTTTTACAATGCAAATATTTGTAGTAAAAATAATATACACTTTGATTTTAATTACAACACAGAATATAATATATATGAAAATGGAGAAAAACATCCAAAATATTCAATAAATTTCAATTGGTATTCTATTGTTTAACAGTGCAATTAAAACTGCAATTAATCGCGATAAATGCTTTAAAATGTGATTAATTTTTTGAGCTAATCGCATGAGTTAACTGCGATTATTCAACAACCCTATTTTTAATCCTTTCACATCAGAGTCAGTGTTTCACAGAACAATTTCTGCTGGCTGTGATGAACCACCAGCACTAAGGAGTTAACTGTGATTATTCAACAACCCTATTTTTAATCCTTTCACACCAGAGTCAGTGTTTCACAGAACAATTTCTGCTGGCTGTGATCAACCACCAGCACTAAGGAGTTAAAATTCCGGCATGAAGCTTTTGAAGAATGTGAAGTAAAGAATAACAATGTCTGTTTGCTTAAGCTGCTCTTTTAACTGCATGATCGCACATGCATCTGGGAAGCTGGGGAAAGGTTTTAATCCTCCTACTTTCCTATTACAGGACTTCTTCCAACATATAAAGGTCCAGAGTCTGCGAGCACTTACACACATTAATAACTGTTCTCGTGAGTAAAAGTAGTTACTGATAAGCATAAGCATTTTCAGGACTGAGTTCTCCTTGGTACATAGGATATTATTTAGGGAAGAAGCATTTCTGTCATATTATACTAGTTAATAATGCTTATCTGATATTTTCAGAGAGGCAGATCCTCAGCTGGCATAAATTGTCAGCTGAGGGTCTGGCAAAGTGTTTTACGAGGATATTACTGTTCCTCGTTTATTGCTGAGGGGGACATACTCAGACAGGGTAAGTGACTTGACCAAAGACAAATACAATGTCAGCATCGGAAGCAGGTTAGAACTCAAGGGCCAAATTCTGATAATCTTTTACCACAGCGTGAAGCATGCTGCCTCTCCTAAGAATTCTGGTATTCAAAGAAGATGCAAAAAGCAACACTATACTACTGTCAATCTTAACCAAAGACATTAGCTCCAAGACAATGGTGCAGACCCACAGAACTCAAGAGGATTACATGTGAACATAAGAACATAAGAATGGCCATACTGGGTCAGACCAAAGGTCCATCCAGCCCAGTATCCTGTCTACTGACAGTGGCCAATGCCAGGTGCCCCAGAGGGAGTGAACCTAACAGGTAATGATCAAGTGATCTCTCTCCTGCCGTCCATCAGACACAAACAGAGGCCAGGAACACCATTCCTTACCCATCCTGGCTAGTAGCCATTAATGGACTTAACCTCCATGAATTTATCCAGTTCTCGTTTAAACCCTGTTATAGTCCTAGCCTTCACAACCTCCTCAGGCAAGGAGTTCCACAGGTTGACTGTGCGCTGTGTGAAGAACTTCCTTTTATTTGTTTTAAACCTGCTGCCCATTAATTTCATTTGGTGGCCCCTAGTTCTTATATTATGGGAACAAGTAAATAACTCTTGCAAGCCTGGGCATAATTGTCCTCATTTAGTTTTTACTGAGAGCAATAACACGGATGAAGCATTACTGAAAGCTGTGTGGCCTACAATAAAAGGCAGTGGGATAGAAGCAACAACTGTCGGTATTTTCTACCTTGTCTGTGGCCATCTACCATTTATAACTTTTATTGTTGGTACTTCTCACATTTTCAGTCTTTGCCAGGTGAATCACTATTGAAGACTTTGGCCCCACTGATATCAGCCATGTTACCTGCTGTATGCAGAGTTAGATTCTGCTAGTTCTGCCACCACTGGTGGAGCTATTATGGTGCCAATACAACAATGGGAGACTAGGGGAAATGCCATGGTAAGCAAGGACTAAGGGACAAATCCTGGTCTAATTGAAATTCATGACAAAATCTTCAGACACCAAATGACACTAAAAATGTTCTATTTTTAAAGTGATGCTGAGGAGCCAGAATTGGAGAATAAAAGGATTCTGTACATTGTCTAATGGCAGAGCACACGTGTTCTATCTAATAAGAACAAGGATTACAGGCAACTAAGGACCCAAAGTCATCCCTGTGAACCACTGACTTCAAGGGGAGCTGGAGCCGGCCCACAATGTGCAAAGTGCATTATTTTGGTCATACAGCCCTTTTGAAATGAAATTGTTGGCAATTTAAATGGAAACATGTACAACAGTAATCAGGAGTTGTATCTCAATGCAGTTTGACTATAAAAGGAAGTGCCATCACTGTAAGCCAAGTTTTGATGTACCCAACTTGTAAAATTTACTTTCTCGTTATGCAGTACTTTAAGTGTTGCAGTCATTAGGCCTCAATTCAGCACAGCACTTAAGCATGTGCTTAACATTTATTATACGACTAGTCCCAGTGAAGTGCTTCATGCTTTAAGCCTGGGCTTATGTGGTTTGCTGAACTAGGATCTTATTCTGTCATTGGTCCATTCCTTGGGTCATTTGCTTTTTTTTAAGGTGCATGGGTTTTTATTCTTTCATTTAAGTATAGCAAAGTAGTTCTAAGCAAATTATTTTAAACAAAAAATGTTATATATTTTATTCTTATTGCAAATATACAAAGGTTCTAAAAATGCATTGAAATAGTTACCCTAATGCCACTATCTAAAACACCAAAACACAATCTAAATAATAGCCAACGTAACTGATTAATTTTAATTAGATTAATCTTCAATCAATCTGGAAAATGTTGATTACCTTCTGATCACAGGAGCTTAATATTTTAAACTAGAATATTTTAGAAAACTAAATGTTTCAAGGTCTTGCTAGTATCACAACAAAGACAGACATTATACAGTTTAATTTTCAAAGGATATGCAGTCTTACCTCCACAATAGCATTCAGGGCAGTGTCAGCACCAATGCTAAGGTCGGTGCCTGGCACATTGTTGCTAATAGTAGCTGGCAACACACAGATAGGAATACAAAACTCCTCAAAGCGAGCACGTGCCTCAGCTAATTGCAGACAACTTTCATAGGCCTGAAGCAGCGGTACAAGTATTATTAGCAATACACCCTTGCATATGAATAGCAAATTATTATGCATTAAGCTAGTGGCTCCTTGCGTGTGATGGGAGGGTTGGCTTTCCATTGGCACAACAAAATAAAATTGGTGATATTAAGGAGGGACAAAAAAAAACTTTCCTCTAAATACCACAACAGTGCACTGGGGTCGCATTGGCACAATGCTTTTCTGAAGAAAGCGCAGAAGGAAGTTAATGTGAGTTAGTACAGAGTGAAAATGAAATGTGGATAGTGCAGAGATCTGAAGCAGCTAAGCAGAAACGTAGGCAGCATGAGTGCACTAGAAATAAGTCATCTCAAAATAAGTTAAATGAACAACCACTATTCTATATACTAAATAGTTTAAGGAAAGGTAACTAGAAAAACACCTACACTCAGAAGAAAATGCTTGTGGATACACTGCTATTATAGACTGCTTTTTTTAGCTACTGCTTTGTCCTAGAAAGTGAAGACACCTTTGTCACTGAAAGAAAAAAATCATGAAAATATGGCCTATGTTTTCCAAGTGCCTGCAAGAAGCATGTACAGCAGGAGACACCTGTTTTTATGCATGCAACTCGGATAATTGTGCATAAAAATGCAGGGATATTGCACAAGACCATATATTTTGCAGGAACATTTTAGAGGCTTTTTGAGCGATCTTTCAGGTAGTCTGTGTGCTCTCACAGGCTCCGGAGTTCCTAGTACTCTTCTCTGTAGCGAAGGACTATGGAATGTGTAGCTGTTCTGACTTAGTGAGTGTACTAGTCCAATTCTTCCTCAATATGCAGTGATCCTGAACACCCATTGTGTAGAGAGAATGTGAAAAATCCCACATATTTAATGAATCTCCAAAGGAAATCCAAAGCCTGTAGTACTTTTTCTTTTCAACAGTCTCGCTCTCCCAGCGGGGAAAGGGGTGCACTGTGGGGTGGGAGTGGGTATAAAACACCCTATTGCTACATGAGAAGAGAGCTCTGCAGGCCAATCAGCCTCCCCCCACTAAAATCCATCAGGTGTCTGTGTAGTGGTGGATTGTAAGTAGGAAATGGGAAGGGAAGAGGTGATTGGGACATTTCCAGGAGGGAAGATGGGGGATTGGAGTCGATGTGGAGGGTCCACATGGCTTGGAGGTATGACGTAGTGGCAGGAAATCAAATGAAAATCTCACCTCCAACACTCCATCCCTGGGTATTTTGGAAATTTTACTTTCACTTACAGCTAAAACTGGGATTTGACTGATCCCAGTGTCACTTCTGGACTAAAATGCTGTCCAGTTATCGTTGCACTGCCGAGAAGTGCCACAGGTAGGAATGAGGGGAATGGCATTTGTCTTTCAAGATCAGCCACTGGAAAGCCTTGGTGGGGGAACTTCACAGAACAGTCACTACCCCAGCCCAGCCAGGCTACTTTGAGTTTTTCCTTACACCAGAAAAAAGATACACTGAGTTGGGAACTGGTTTTGTTTAGTGAAGCCTCAAAGCAGGTTGGACATCTGCAAAGCACTTATGAGCACAGCTGCAGTTTTAGCCAGAGGCTTTGGGAAAGTGGTTCAGTTAGAGGGAGAACTGAAACAATTACTGGCACAACCATTTAGTTAGTCTGCAATGAAAGATACATTTTACTTGCATTAAATACTGCGTCGTTTCATATGATGCAAGTGTTTTTAGCAAACACATGCGTGAACACTGTGCAGTAACCCAGGACTGTTACTGTCTGAAGACATGCAACAACCCAGTATCACTGTTGCAAAAAAACCCCAAATAGTCACTTTATACAAAGAGTATATTTCACGCAGTCTATAAAGGGTTAAATAATTAACTGATGGTTTAATAAATGGTTAATCAATTGTTATAGATTGTATAACCATCTAGCCTAGAACACTGATTGCTCATGTCAGTAACATGCTTATAACATCTATGAATCAGTTCCAACTCTTTATAAATATACCCTTAATATAAAATGTGACCAAAGATACTGTATAAGAACATACAATAACTCACCATCATCCCTCCTCTACCCAGCCGCCGTTTGCTACTGTTTCTGGTTCCTTCCCCAACTCGGTTAGATGATTCACCTCTTACCTCTGCTGATTTCCTGACAGACTGTCTCTCATCCCTCACACATGGCTGGTGCTAGGCAGCTCCTCTCCCGTTTTTCCATTCTCCATCTGTGGCTGGCATCTTTCCTTCCCCCTCCCCTCTTACTCCGACTCCTTTTTGCTATGCCTGTGCAACAAAAGCTGTGCACGGGCTAGTGTGGATAACCACAGCCGCAAAGAGAGTGCAGCACGGACAGTTCAAGAACAGTACAGATTCTGGGAACGAACTTGGCTCACCAGCCCGCTCTGAAGCCTGCACTGTGCTATCTTCACTGCTACTGTTACCTGCACTAGCGGGACTCAAACTAGCTCAGCTAGGCTGGCCTGTGCACAGGTTTTGCTGTGCAGACATAGCGTGAACTCAAGACTTCTTCCTATCTCCTGCTCAGCTCTTTGTTTCTTTCTCTTAACCCCTCCAAAGCCCATCTTGGTTTATGTCGTTTCCATTTTCCCCCACCCTCTTTCCAGGCTCTGTTGTCTGTGAAGGGGGCTGTAAATTAGTTTCACTCTGTTCAATCCAATGCAGAGCTCCCTGCCTTCTGTAAAATCATGGTGCAGAATTTTCTCTGAAATCCTCCCCTGGCTAGAAATTTGTGCTGCAAAATCCAAGTTTTCATTTAAAAATCTAGCCTTTGGTGTTGTAAAGAAAACAATTCGAAAACACTGACCAGTGTACACTTCCTGAGTGCTGTGTTCCTGTTTGCAGACAGCCTGAAACAATAGCCTTGAAAGTGCTGTCTCATTCACTTTCATAGATCGTTAACACTAAACATTTTAATTTAAATATCAGCACTATGTTAACGATCTGACTGATGATTTTTTTTTAGCAGAAACTACCAGCTAACATGCTTATCCCACAATCCTCAAATGTCTCCTATGCCCAGCTAGGTGCAAAAGTGCCAAATGCTACCTAGTCAGCAAACAAACCTCCACAAGTTTGCCCCAGATTATCTCGGCAATGCAGTTATACAATGTCACTACAAAAATCTTTGGCATATCAAAAATGAAATGTAGGGACAGCAGAAAATTAATTCCATTTAATATCAAAATGAACAACACAGGACAAATTGTACTGCGCATAAGATTCACTTTTTAAATATGTGATTGATAAAAACCCTGCATTCTAAAATGCAAGTGAAACTGTCACAAAATTTCCCGGGTGCTGTGCTAAAGAGCCTCAGAATCCAAGAATCTTGCTACACAATTTAGGTCCCATTGCTAAGAAGTGCACGGGCCTTTACTGGAACCTAATCACTCTTTTCTTTAGGTTGTAAATTCTTCAGGGCAAGGAATCCTATTTTTCGTAGTTCATCTTCTATTCCAGGGATCGGCAACCTTTGGCACGCAGCCCATCAGGGAAATCCGCTGGCGGGCCGGGACAGTTTGTTTACCTGCAGCATCCGCAGGTTCGGCCGATCGCAGCTCACACTGGCCGCGGTTCGCCATTCCAGGCCAATGGGGGCTGCGGGAAGGGCGGCCAGCACATCCCTCAGCCCGTGCCACTTCCTGCAGCCCCCATTGGCCTGGTACGGCGAACCATGGCCAGTGGGAGCTGCGATCGGTTGAACCTGCAGATGCTGCCGATAAACAAACCATCCCGGCGTGCCCGCGGATTTCCCTGATGGGATGCGTGCCAAAGGTTGCCAATCCCTGTTCTGTTCAGTGCTCTCATGTACCCTCTCTAATTCAGAATTGCTGTATGTACATTAATTGCTACCTATTAACTCTACAATACTTTTCCTGATTCCAATGAATGGGAAATAACTAAGTACTTTAAAATATGCCAAAGCACTACTGGATGATTATCGGTTGTCTGTATGAAGAGAAATACCCTGAACTACCCATGATTTAATTTTGGAGTTTGATTACTTTGGGATTTAGTTGTGGTTAGGAGAAATATTTTACTTTTTCCTTACAGGCTTCATGACAGTAAGTATCACCCTTGAACAGATTTTATATACAAACACATCGTGGGCAACACAAGGCATACAATGCAACAACTAACCAAAAATTATACTTGTAGTATGTACAGAGGACAGTTTATCTGATTATGGAAAAGAAGCTTGTCAGTCAGGAAGTCAGTATCCTAGAATGGCATTAAGATACTGCTTACATGCCTGAGTACTTTTCAGACATTCTAACACAGACAGCTAAAGTAACCAGCCACACTAAACTTTTTCAGGATCTCAGAAACCTGCCTATTCACATACTAGAGGCCTCATTACCCACTAGCAGACCATATACTTACCTTATTGCAAACTGAGAAAATTGACAAAGATTGACATTTAAGTGAGAAAAGTAGCAATAAAACAGTTGCTTCGAATCCCTACAACTAAGTTTCAGGTCACTTTAGTGCTCATGAAAGATGCCAGACTGATAGCATTGGAAACTATGTCATATGCTTATCCACAGAACAGGGACATCAGGAGTACAAGGACCATTAACTTCACTACTAATGTGCTTTAATAGAGGAATCACCTATAGGAGGAGTTTATTCTTCGTGCCCGTGCAATACCTCTGCTCACTATTTTCACTCGCATGAACTGGAAGGAGACTGCCTATTCATACTTAACAAGCCAATTGGCCATTACAGAGGGTAATGTCATTACTCAGTATGATCTGGATGACCTTAAAGCGAAAGGTTCTATGTCAGTGGTGGGCAACCTACGGCCCGCGGGCTGCATGTGGCCCATCAGGGTAATCCGCTGG